GATGAAAAGTGAAAGGGCAGGACGTGTCATCTTTCTTTGTAAAGCAGAAAAAAATTTAACTCACTCGCACCTGCCCCTTTCCCGGGAGGGTCTGTGCAGCCCATCTGGCTTGCTTACACTGAACTGGCGAGTGAGAAAACTGGCGGGTGAAGTCATTATAATAATTTTAAAAAATAATAAAATTAGCCTAAGCTTTTATTATTATTATTGTTATTACGCTTTTTGCCATCTTTCACGGCCCAGGATCGGGACCATTCCTTTTCGGTGCCGACGGCGCGCCGGGGAGGAGCGGAGCGGCCGGGCACCCTGCATCACCCTGCGAGCTCGAGCACGGCCGGACCCCAGGAACCGGGCAGCTGACCTCGACTGCTTCCTCGGCGCCAGGGCCCGGGAGAGAGAGAGGAGGCGAAGCGGGATGTGCTGCGCTTGCAGCGGCGACGGTCGGGATCCTGCGGCGAGCTGAGCTTCCCAAAGACTTTTCCCGTAGCTTGCCGGGGCATCCAGGGGCAAACTGGGAAAGCGGCTTCGGCCCCCCTCGGCACCGTAGCTCCTGCGTGCGGCCGCCTGGAAAATAGACAAAGCAAGAGCGTTAGAATGCAGGCGGGGAGGAAAGGAAAGGCAGGCGGGGAGGGAAGGGCGCCGGGAGCCCGCACGCCGCACGGTTGCCAATGACAAAAGGGAGAGAGGGGGGAGTCAGAGCAGGAGAAGGGCGGGGAGGGAAAGGGGAAGGGGAGGAAGCGAATGGAAGGGGGGCCACACGCACTGACGCGAAGCTGGGGTCGGCCAGACCCGAGCCTGTGGGCTGCTTGATCCGCGGCCGAGGAGGGACAAGGCGGAACGCCCATCACCGCAGCGCTAGGGTGAGCGGGCATCTGGGTCCCTGCGGCGCGGTGGGAACGGGCCAGCCGCGGGGAACCGCAGAGAGCAACCTCCCTGCCCACCGCTGCAAAAATGCCCGGAAAGCAAGCACAGGGGAAAGCAAAAAAAAAATTTAAAAAAAAAAAAAAAAAAAAAAAAAAAAAAAAAAAAAAAAATTAAAAAAAAAAAAAAAGAAGAAGAAAAGAAAATAATAAAATTAAGGGGCTGTGAAGGGGGTGGGGAACAGCAGTTCCCCCTTCTTTTTCGTCTTGAGGACCGTACTAGAGCAAAGAATCATAGGAAGAAATCCAAGCATCCAAATAAAAATAAGAAATAGGAACCCCCTCCAAATACCAAGAAAGAAAATCACAATCAAAAAGGAAATGGTCAAACCTGCCGAGGGCTGGCGGCTCCTCCACCCAGTCGGAGCCTGGGAGTGCAGGAGAGGAGAGCCCCTCTAGCTGCTTTCGGGGGATAGGAAGCGGTCCGGTCTCTCCCCCTCGCTTGCTGCTCCAGAATTAGGGATTAATGCCTCTCCAGCCAAACAAATAAGGCATCTGCCTTCAGTACAAGAGGATTACACGGGGTTGCTGACGTCACCAGCCAGGCAGATGTTGGCTCCCAAAGTCCTGATCATCTCCCGTGTCCTTGAAACCCGGCACAATCCCAGACCCTCGCCGCCCGGCCGGGTTCCTGCAAGGTCGAGGGGGACCTGGTCGGAGGGGACCCCACCGAGCCGCTCTCTCCCAAAACGTCCTCACGCATCATCGGGGAAGGTGTGAAAAGCCGAGCCCGGCAGAAAGTTCAACCCTCCCCCTTCCCTCCGGGTCCTCTCCCTCCACTCCCCGCCCTCCCCCACCTCCCCAACCTCAATGTCACATGAATCTGTACAGTCATAGCGAGGAAGAGGAGCCTGATCCCCGGCTCACCCAGAGGCCACCCTCCCCGCACGGCATCCGACCCCCCCTCACTGCGGCACCGCCGCGCCCCCGGCCCCGCGCCGCCCCAGCCACCCGCCCGCAGCAGCCCGGAGCCGGGCCGGGCCGGGCCGCGCCGTGCCCGCCGCTTTGTTCCCGCCGTGCCCGTCCCGGCGGGGCAGCGGCGGCCGGGCGGAGCGGCTCGCTGGACAGCCCTCGCCCCGTCCCGGAGCTGCGCCGTGCCTCTGCGGCAGGCAGGCCCCGGCGGGCGGGCAGCGAGCCCGGCAGAGCTCGGCCGGGCCGGGCCGGGCACGCAGGGAGCTCTGAGGTGGCTCAAGGCCTCCGCTCGCCCTGCAGGGCCGGCGGCAGGCGCTGGAGTAGGGTTCTCCTGGCTATAGGACTTGGAGGCTGCGTTTCTGCAGTTCTTAGGTGGAGGCTGAGCTGCTCGTCGTTCCCGTGGCTCAGCCCCGAGTTTGCTGGAACTGTAGGGTGGGTTGGAAGTGCCGCAAAGTACATCTGAAAGGGGAATCCAATTAGAAGCGCGATCAAAATAAAAAAAGAAATTTGCCTGAGAACCACGTCTGTTGCTTTTGCTGTGGCATAAAGTCCATGACTCATCATCACTACTCCCTTTGCATCAAACAATGGTTTCAATCATTTTGGTACTGCAGAAAGGCAAACTAGACGATGTGACATAACGGAGCAGGATGAAGAAGAAGGAATCGCCAGTATCTAGGCTCCTGTTGGGTTGATGTTGTTGTTGTTCAAAGGAGCTGTTTTATAGATCAGTTCCATATTATCCTTGTCTGTCAAAGTGGCATTTAATTTTTCCAATTGTGGAACTCGGTCACTGATAAAATCAATTTAATTTACACCACTGTCATTCAGCCGATCCGAGCAGTAGATTTATTTTTGGCTCGGAGTTGAAGGGAAAAAGCAATCGTATGCAGAATAGAGAGATCCTTTTACTTCTTTTGCGAGCAGTAAGAAGAGAAATCACTGGCGTGGCATTTTAACAGAGCTTGCTTTCCTGCAGGAGAATTATAAATGTAATTTCTCAAGTATTTTGCCTAGAATCTTGAGCAAGCACACGAGAGGGATAACAAGAAAGACAGAGCTGCTCGAGGCCCCGGCGTTCCGTGGGGGCCGACAGCCCCGCGCACTCCCCTTTCCCGGGGTGACACCAGCCGGCTCCATCCTCGCCCGGTCCCTGTCCATGGTCCTGACCCGCCGGCGGCAGCGGGCGCTGCTCCGGCGGCCGCGCCGAGGGCCCTGCGCGCCCCTCCGCGCAGCGCGGCCCGCCGCCGCCGCGGGGCCGGGAGCCTGCCACCCCTCCGCCGCACTCCCATCAACACCTCTGATTTTTTGTTGTTGTTGTTATTATTGTTATTATTATTGATACAATTTTTTTTTATTTGTTAGCTCTCCTTTTTCAAAGAGCTTTTAATCACTGACGCCTGGGCAAACCCACATTCTAATATAAAGTGGTTAATATTGGACAACAGTCTTTAAACCTCGGGTTCTCATTTGTTTCCTTAAATGGATTAACGTGCAAGTTCAGATGTGGTTTTTAGTAACCGGTACCTACCTACAGGATGGCCTGAAAAGAACTGACAACATTGCAATTTTTTTTTTCATTAGAAGTTGCAGCAGGAATAACTTGCACACAGTGGTTAAATATCCTCTAAAGTATCACTTTGCATATATATATGGCCTCTTTCTGGTCCTAAAAGAAAGATCTTGCTACCCAGCTATATGCATGCTCAGACATACACACTCTCTCACCTACACATACATGTATATATACATAAACTTTAAATAATTTAGTGTAAAAGTCAGGCGTCGCCGTTGAGAAGTCTTTTCTCAGATCACACACACACGCACACACACGCACGCACGCACACACACACACACACACACACACACACACACACAATTCGCTAACGCTGTTCCTTAGCATTTAAAAGCAAGGACAGGTCTCGAAATATTATTTCTTCAGTCCTCCCTTTTCTCTCATAACCTGCTCCCCCGAGTTGAATAACTCAGGCGAAGAGCAGCTGAAATAGCCCCTACACTGCAAGAGGCTCTGAATGCAGCAGCCTTAGAAATTGTGCACTAGCCCTGCAAGGAGAAATGTATGGGCTCTCTAGAATGTGATGTGTGTGCTACCGGCTGGGGAAAAGGCAGAGCTGAGGCCATTCACACTTCGTAGGCTGGGAGATTTCTTTCAAAAGAGCCCTGAAGTATTTAGGATTTGGGGGGAAACCCTTGTACCGGAAGAAAATGGCCTAAACACAATAGGACTCGCCATTTTCTCCTTCCAAAGCACAAAGCAGCTCCGCGGCTTCAGCACCACACAAAGAAAGCCCGGACCCTCTGAATTCTCTTACATTTTCCCCCACGATTTCAAAAGCCTTCCCCTCTATCCGATCCGCTTTCCCAGGAGCGCTCTCAAAGAAATAAAGAAAAAAAGGAGGAAAAGGAGGGGGAGAAAAGCGACTAGGCTAGGCGAGAGAGAGACAGTTTTGGTCTTAGTTTATTTTAAGCAAATCCTACCACGGAAAAGTAGCACCATCACATGTACACTTGGGGAGTGTGTCTGTGGTGGGGGCGGGGGTGGGGGTGGGGGGAGGCGGGTTGGAATCCCAAAAAACAAAACAGCTGGAAAGCTGTTTTGACCACCGCATTCCTTCGAGCTGGGCGGACTCAAGTCGCATTACAGAGACCCAGGCAGACCACGCTGCCTGGGGATGTGTATGTACACACACAGGCACGCATATTCCCGGGCCAAAATAAAAATAAAAAAAATCAATTCATTGAAGCCCACAGAGTGATGTTGAAAACAGCGCTCTGTCCTTCTCACTGCCGGCACCTGGCGTTCCTCCGCGCCCGCGGAGCCCCGCACCACCGGCTGCTGCCCTGCTGCCGCACCGCGCTCTGTTCAGCCGCCCTCCTCTCTCCCTCTCCCGCTTTTATTTTCTTATTTTAGCAAACCGGCAGAAGACATAGAAAAAGATGAGATGACATATTTAAGGAAAAAAAGAAAAAAAGAGGGAGAAAACAAAGAATCAAAACAAACCCGAGCAACCCCTACCTAAACAACAGCCTGTCATTATCGCCCTGAAATGCAGCAAGAGACTTTGTACTTACAGGCAGCGCTAAAGTGAGTAATCCTCATCCCAGCGTGGTTGGGTTTGTTAGGGTTTTCTTTCCCTCTTTTTTTTTTTTTTTTTTTTTTTTTTTTTTTTTTTTTTTTTTTTTTTTTTTTTTTTTTTTTTTTTTTTTTTTTTTTTTTTTTTTTTT